GTTTTCTTTATTGGGACCCTGCTGGTTTTTAATTGGTTCCCTCTGGCAGAGAAGAACAGGTTGATTGGAACAGAATTGTTCATAATAAAAGATTCTTATATTTTTTTTAAACATTCAGGTTAAAGAAGAGTAAAAACAGAAGGACTGATGTAGCTTTCAAAGTAGAACCTTCATGCTAACTATCTGTTTGCTTTATAATCCTGCTCAGTTTCCTAGAACCTGAGCAGGAAGTTCATTCAATGATTTCCAGCCTGGGCTCGCTGTAGCAGAACATTCACAGCGGCCGGCGCGGCGCGGCGGCAGCGGCTGTGATCTCACGGTCGCCCCGCTCACGCTCTGAGCGGCTTCGCTAAAGATTTACCATAACAAGGAAATGATTCTCATAAAGGAAGCCAGGGTGAACACTCGCACATAAACAAACACTCCTTTCAGTTCTCACTTTCAGGCCCCCGGTCACAGCGGAGGGGGGGGGAAAATAAACTCCTGCTTCCTGCTCTCTTCTCTGATTCCTTTATTAGAAATAGTCTGGTTCTAAAAAGCAAACTAAATGGGCTCAGACAGCATCAGGCTCCTATCACAGATATAATTAGCCGTTCTGACGCTTTAAGGCTCATGTTCGCCGTGATGGAAGCTATGCTGTCTTGCTCAGACGCATTCCAGGATAAGGAAAACATCCTTCTTGGAGCATCAACAAAGGGAAGCATGAAGCGGCGCAGAGACTGATGGGAACCGGGCGCCCAGAAACATACAAAGGAGGAAATAAGCGCATCACGAGCCAGAAAATTGCCCTCTTCCCTAAAGCGACATTTAGACTGATACCACGAACCCCAGGCTGCAAACAATCACTCATTCTCCCTAAAAAAAACAACAAAAAGTCTTTTTTTTTTGTTAGTTTTTTCTGTTTTCACCCAGACTTTGTTTATGAATCGATCTCTTCCACTTTGGGACGAGCTAAGCTGTCAGGTTGGTCACTAAACTGGCCTCAACACCTGATCAGGATCAGAAAAAAACAAACTTAAAGCTCATCTAGTGAAAAAAAAAAGAGAAAATTAACCATTTGTTTGAATAAAAAGGTTCCTTAAATGTGTTGGAATGTCTAAAACCATGAATATAATCACTATAAGTGCGAATAATCTATGCAGACATTTGAAGCAGCACTTGTTGAAGCTAAATCCAAGCTGGTTGCTTCATGTTGTTTTAGCTTTTCTCCTCAGAAGCGGGCAACATTAATCCCACCCGATAGCACATCCTGCCATTCATGCTACTTTCTCTCAGCTGGAGCTTTAAGAGCCTCATTTCTCACTGCTACGGAGGTAAATTGATTTTAAAACCCGTTAAAACGGTGAGGAGAAGCAGCTGTTTGATATCCGGGCTAATAAACAAGCTAACATCTGTTATCTCTGGGTAAAGCTGAAGGAAAAAAGGTCAAATAATAAGTTTTCCTGATATTTCTAAACTTCATCAAGATGGTAAACATTAATATGCCGTTTCCGTTAGCAACCATGATTGTTGTTGCGCCATGTCATCATTTTAAAAAAAAAATGTTGGATGTGATCTTAAATTATGCTTCTAGGGTATCTGAGGAAGCGGCAGGATAAATATAAAATAATAAATAATAAAAGAATACATCTACAAATGTCATAAATGTTTGAAACTGAACCAGTCTATGGAGTGAGCTTTGTTCCATTATTTAGCAAAGAATGCGTTCAGCAAATAAAAATGAAATGCAATCCAGAAATAACACTTTGAGAAACTTCCTTATCAAAAAACAAAAAAAGTTTCGGTTCAAATTTGTTTTTTTCTGATTGCATTCGTTTAAAAGTTTATTTTACAGATTGCATCGTCTCCATTTGAAGCCCAATCCAAACTCTCACTCTTGAGCAATAAAAAAATAAAAAAATGCTGCTAACGTCCAGCCGACCAATAGAAATGCTTCTTTGCTCCTCATTGCTGAGAAAATCCCGCCCCCAGAGGTGAAGAGAATGTGTGTTGGAAAAGATAGCATTTCATAAAAAACAATTGAGATACATTTGGTGAAATTTTATTTGAAATAAATAAATAGATAAAAAAAAATGGGAAAAAGATATTTGAAAAAATAAAACCTATGAAAACGGCAAAGTTACGCGCAAAAACCGAAGATTCTCAGTTTAATTTCTCGAAATAAGTTTTGTGAATGGAAAGAAATTTAACTCAGAAACAATATTATTTTTCCAAATATTTTTTCACAATTTTTTGCAATATTTATTTTTTTCAAATCAAATTTTTCCAAATTTACCTAAAATATTTTTTTTTACCAATTTAGATCTTTTCCAAGTGTGTTTTCTTCAGATCACATTCTCTTCACTTGTTGAGCAAAGATGCATTTCTATTGGATTTCCATTTACAAAACTTGTTCTTTGATTGAAATGATAATGGAACAAATTTCACCCCATACACATGGTGTAGAAGAATCTTTTTTTTTAAAGGAATATTTAACATTTTTAATTCAGTGGCTAAAACAATATTTCCTGTTCATCTTTGGAGTTTTTATTTCCTCTTCATCTCATATTTAGAACAAGCATTTAGTTTCTCTTCCTCTCTTTTCTAAAATCTGTGGGTCAGGCAGCAGAAAGGAAACGAGGAAATCAGCCCTGGAGTTGTTTTTGTTTGGCTTTATTTTTATTTTTTAGGCGCCTGCCCACTGGTGTTGCTCGGGTGACGGTTGAGGTTAGTTTCTACTTCCTGAAGAACCGTCTCCTACTTCCTCTCCCCCAGCAGCCGCGCTCTAACAGCTGCATCCATCGGCTGGCGCCTGACGGCTTCGTCGATTTGGTGTTTTTATACGAGCAACAAAAAAAAAGCATCTTTCTCACAATGATGCACAAGAATTAGAGATTAGCCTAAAAGTTATTGTGTTTTTAGCTGTTTTTCTATTGTTTTCTATTGTTTTCTATTGTTTCTATTGTTTTCTATTTGTTTTTTTGTTTTTTTTTTCATTAATCAGAAAATGACTCGTTAAAAGCATAACTGATAGATTGAGGAAGGGTATAAAGAGGAGCACCAGAATGAGGAGATCTGTAGCGGAAGTCCTCCTTGGTGAGGAGAAGCAGCGCCTTGCCGTTCATCTGGAAAGTACCGCTGGTGATGGGCCTCAGGGCGAACTCCTTCTCAGCCCACCGCAGCCACTGGGCCACGTCCTCCCGGCTCCAGAACACCGGCTGCAGGCCTGGAGGTGGACAAGGAGAAAAAAATAGAGGGGAAAGCATGAGAAAAGGAAGACAAAAATGTGCTGGGGAGGGGGGGTGGCAGGAGGGGGAGGAAGGAAGAAAGAAGGAAAGGCAGGAAGGAGAGAATGGGCGAGGGGGGAGGGGAGGGGAGGGCGGAAGGAGGCAGTAAAAAGGATATTGAGGAAGTGGAGATAAAAGCCAAAGGAGGGAGTGATTACGGGAACAGCAGCGGAGATAAAGGGAAAAAAAAAGGAGAGAGACGACATGAAGCCGACGGTGAAACAGTCAGAAAACAGCTTTCCACATATTCTGCTTCCTTTAATGGACGGTCTGATGAGAAACAGGCTGCCACCTGAGCAGGAGGGTCACCGTTCTTTATCAGCCTGCAAAAATAAAACTTTAATTAATCTGAATCTACTGATGGTTAAATAATGTTTTCATTTTTATTGAAAGTAGAAAACATTTTTAGAATCTATGAGAGAAACGCAGATATGGCTCATTTTCTCATTTAAATCAAAAACACCCCGACCGAAAACAGGCGAAATTATTTCAAATAAATCGATTCATTATTTTTTTAAAAAGCAGATTATTAGTCTGTGTTTTGTAGCGATAAAGTTGGATTAGATTGGAATTTACTAAAAAAAATGTAAAAATGTGGGATTTCGTAGTTTTAGACATTTAGATCTACGGTAATTTTATCTAACAAACATTTCATGAAGCAAAACATGCAATGCAAGTTACTATACTATAATATACTGTTTATATACTACTACTATACTATACTACCCCCCCAAGTCGCATCGACTTTCATCTTTATGACAAAGCAACACCTACTAGAATAAAGTGTAATTGCACATCCACCCCAGTAGGTGGCAGTGGTGCTGTCATGGTCAGAAGTGGCGCAGGTTTTCTCTCTATGGTGTTCGCATTAAAGAGGAGATATTGACAAACTCCTCAAGAAAGAATTGAGAAATATTTAAGATGGAGATGAAAAGGAAGAAAACAAAGTCGTACGCAGGTTCTGATGCGAACAAAGACTCGGTGCGTCGACTGTTCCTCAACATGTCTGCAGCATGAAGACAAATAAACGAAGGACATTACATCCCAATCACGATGAAAAGACGCTTTTTTCATGGAAAATGAGCCGAATATCTTTCTAGCTTCGTTGTTTTGTAGTACTTTACAATTTTATTGACAAACTTTACTTTTATCCCCGTTTCCCACTGAAGGAAAAACCCGTTTAAACCAGTTTAAACCGGTTTAAACCTGTTTAACGATGGCAGTGGGAACCGCTCACTGACGCGAAACTCCGCCTCTTAAAACAAGAGAAAACTCAAATCTTTAAGAGAATCTCAGCTTATCTGATAAATCTTTTGTTAATCTTTAAGATTAATCAACAATAACTTGCATCTCTAAGCAGTAAATAAAAAAAGAGAAACAAAATAAATATTTTTTTTTTGGGACCATGATGTTAAATCTCTCCAACATGAAGCAGATCAATTGGTGTCCAGATTTGGTGACAGTCAGCATCTTCAGGAAGCTGACGACGGTCTCTGTGACTCAGCCTCACCTTCCCGTTCTCCCCTGCATCTTCTCCTCTCACCCTGAAAGCAAAGCGTGATCAGAAGGTCCACGCCGCCCACACGGAGCGCAGCCGCTCATTTCTCACATCTGACTTATCGCTCAGACTCCAGCGCTTCCTCTGGGAGTCGGACAGCTGTTATCTCTGGCCGACTGTGTCACTCGAGTAATAAGAACCGCTTGTCTGCCCCCCCGACATGTCAAACAAAGGAAGTTTTCGGAGGTCGATCGATAGAAAATGAAACTCTGTCCACTTTCCTTCCCAGAGGCGTGATGAGCCAAGGCTGACTGCAGCAAACTGCAGATAAAAACGGGTTGATTCTGTTTTCTTTAGCTTCTTTTACAGAGTTAGGAGTTTTCTATGTCATCAAACAGCTCGACTTTCAAACTACAGCCTGATTAATATTGAATGGAGCTGCCATCTGCTGTACTCTGAGCTGTGAGAGCGGCAGAAGTAAAGTTCAGGTCAGGAGGTCACGGCTGCGGTATGCTCTCTCCAGAGCCAGAGAGCCGCTCCGCCCGTTTTAAAACCCCTCTGAGATCCGGCCTGCCGGCCTCCACCATCTGCACAGGAGGAAGAGGAGCAGAAGGAGCGAGGAGGAGGAGGAAGAGGAAGGGGGGCCCAAACAAACCCGCAACGCTCCTTGGCGGGAAGTAATCCAGCGTGGGCCGCTTTTCAGCGCAGGAAACTTCCTGTGGTAAGGTTAGAGAATTACGCAGCTTCACCGAGGCAACAGCAGCGGCAGGAAATAAAAAGGAAGAGAGGAAACAGAGAAGTGTGGTGAGAGTGGCGGCGGATGGCGTGTGGAGAAAATAAACGGAGGCAGCGCGGATAAAAGCAGCCTGCAAGAAGAGGAAGGAAGCGGACGCAGGAAGGGAAACGGATAACTGAACCGGAGCGCGGATCGAGTTCCCAGAGCCGGACGTCGGCTCCAGTCTCCAATTCCTTCCTTCACTTATTTCTAAGGCAACTTCTGTTTATTCTAGGTCTAATCTGCACACTAAGCAAAGTCCACCAGACGTCTCAGGCCGTAAAAGAAGCTTTACTGGACGCTGCGTCTGATGACGCCGCTGTCAGTCAAAAGTAAACTCCTGCGGCGGCTTCCCAAGTTAAAATGGAGATGATTTTAAATTTGCCACTAAGACTTTTATCTCAACACGTCCATAATGGATATTACTCTCCCAAGGGTTCCTATTTCATACAGATACATTCTAGAAAGGAATGAATAATTCATGCAGCTGCTTGTTTCTAGTAACAGAAATCAATCACCTGTAGGAATAAACTGAAACAGCAAAGGAAGCATGAAAACCAAACACCTTCAAATTGTAGCTCCTATCCTTCACCTTTCGTGGGGTCAACAGTTAGAGGTCTATCCAGGGTACGAAGCTCCACACTGCTGTGCTGAATCCAGATCATCTTCAGTCTTACATGAATGATGGGACTCAGATATGGGCTGCAGACTTCTAAAAAAGATCTACAAAATAACAGCTACCTAGATGTCAGGAACGGCTGCAGCTCTACGTTATAAAAAAACGAACATAGGAAGGTGGGAAAAGTAGAAACTGCTTCAAGTTTTTGATTGTGGGAAACCGTATGGCTCCCAGCACCATCTATGTTTAAGGCTCCTTTTTGATAAAGCTTCTAGTTAGAGTGGCTCAGGTTATCCTGAGCTAT